TTTTTTTTTGATGTCCCCTTCCACTGTTAGGTATACCTAAGGGGGTTCCTTTTTTTCTGACTTCGTTTTGCACACACAAATCCCCTGGCATATTAAATGATTATGTTGTACTATTGTTTTTTTGTTTTGTGTTATTACGTTTTCAATTAAAAAATGAAGGATTGTGGGCTTTTTCCTTCTGCTTCTTTTCCGCCTCTGGTGATGGAGGTGTGTCCCACCAGAAATGCTCATACGCTTACATACAAGTGCATATATAAGTGGTGTTCGTAACTGTTTATGCATTGAGGTTATGTAATGTGTACGTATGCCTCCACGTATTGGCGGATAGAGACATAATACATCTCTCTCTTTCGTAGACTTCGAGAGCAAATCAGAGGATGAGCGATTGTGTTGATCTCTTTGTTCAATGGATCTGTACGAGTGTGTGTCCTAAGCAAAAGAGAGAACGAAAAGGTATTGAACGCAGGAATGGTAGAAGTGAGCCAATCTGGTGCAAGCAATGGTTTAAAAATTGCAGGAAGTTAAGCAGTGGTATAAATGAATAAGTAAATAGGTAAATATTTTGATATGTTGTGCTCTTTTGATTGATCGTGTTTTCCTTTCGTACTCCATTCATGTTTTTGACTGGAGTGAGAAAGCCACACCTCAGGGAAGGGCCTTTGTTTGTGTATAGCCACTAAATCCTTTTTCTCTTCTTTGCGGCATTACTCTGTGCCTTGTTTCTTCGTTGGAGCTGCAACTCTGATGGAATATCGGAGCGCGTACTCTCTACCGAAGCAATGACGTGCAGAAGCAGCAAGAACAAAGAGGAAGACACATGTTTTTTATTGAGAAAGAGAACCTCCCATGGTTTTCTTTCCCTCACCGTAAAAAGATATGAAAATAATTTATTATAACATTTTTCACCTGTGGAAATTTAATACTATCTTGGAACTACCGCCTCTTGGCATGTTGTATTCATAACGTGAAACCCCTCATTTGAAGGGACTTGAGACTGTGTTGTGGTGTGGCCACATGGGTCGTGCCCTTTCTTCGCCTGTGTCTTATTATCTTGTTGTTACTTCTGTATACACCGCGGATGGTGTCCACATCTTAAACCCTCTTCTTTTCCTCCTTGTGTCTCCCCTGCATTCTTTGCTGTGCAGACCGCCCTACACACACACACACACACACACACAAGAGAAGACAAATAACACACTATGGATCGGCGATGAGTTCGCCCGACCACCACAGCAGCACCCTGCCGACGTGGCACAGCGTGCATGGCGCACTGCGGCGACTTCTCTCGCACACGATGGCGTTAGTGAGGACTCTTGCTGGCCTGAACCGCAGCCGGCCGGGTGTCCACTGCTCCCGCACGGGGGCAATCCACATGTTGGGCGCTGGTGCTGCGCTGCTGCTCGAAGAGGCGCAGCGACGGACGGCGCAGGTGACGGCGGTGGCCACACGGACCACTGCGGGTGTGCTCCTGCAGCACAAGGGCGGGCAGCCGAAGGAGAATCCGCCGCGTGTGGGTGACTGTGAGGCTCTGGAGGAACTTGAGCGGCGGCGTGGCGCGGCGCGGCGGGTGCTCTCTAAATGTATAACCGCAGCAGAGAGGCTGATGGACAAACTACAGCGCCCCACACAGGCAGTGGAGTGGGGGGTGCATACCGGAGGGTAACCCCCTCTTTGTGTGTCAGGCGGTTGGTGCTTTGCACCCTGTTCTCTTTCTCCCTCTCTCAGTGTCACACTGCGCTCTAATACATCCAACCCGAAGGGAACACGGAGTTGTTTGAATTTCTCTTGATGAGTGTTTCTTATTCTTCTCCGGTATATGCATTTTCTCCAATGTCTCTCCACTTTTCATATAAATCCCACACACATAGTAAGAAGCTTTTTCCCACAAAGTCGCTTTTTCAGCAATCGTACAACCGCGATACACGCGTACACTGCATCCAAGACACGCATCCCCGGGGGCAAGCATGGCGCGGGAAGATGTCACTCCGCATGACGATGCCTTGCATGGAAAGCAACTCCCTGTGGGGAGGAATATGCCACGTATCATCCGGTTGACAACAATTCGTGCACCGGGGTGTCGCCCACAAATCCCACAGTCCCGATGTAT